GTTAATTCTCGTAAATAAAGCCTGATACGCTTTCATACATTCTTGGGCTCAGATTGTAAACAGATGAAAGTGCTGTCAAATAGCTTATATATTATTAAAACCACTGAAAATTCTGCGGATTTTGGCAATCTGAGAGCAGAGTTATAAGAGATTTAGTAAAAGTGAGGTTATGCAACAAGTTGACAACAACCTATACTCAACAGCTGATTTTTGTTGCTATTTTGGAAGTATCGTCGGCCTGTGTGAATTGTGACATAGTGACTAAATCACAATTCACACAGCGATCCATTGTTTCCATATCCAATCGCTAAAAACCAGGCTGTAAAATCCACAATAACGAGCCCAAGTCAAACGAGTAAACGAGATTCGGTATGATAGCAAAGTGTCGCACAAGTGACTAAATCCGTACCGTACAAAGAAAGCACTGGTCGAGGAATAACACAATAAAACAACAAGGACATACACTCAAAACACACACGTACTAAACGACACGAGACTAGGATAGATTATTGTATATTATTATCTAAAAGTGATCATAGGTTGAGTCCGGTAGGAGCTGTCACTGTCAGCATAGATTAAAAGTACACTTGACAAATACAAGTAATAAATCGAACTGTAAACGAGAATCGATTTAAAGATTTATTTTTATTTTGTTGATATTTTACTTTTTAAACTGTTAATCGTTACTATTACTTGTAATGTATTTAATTACTTTGACTAAATCTATCATCTGGTGTAAGTTGTTTTTATGTTTAATTTTTAAAATTCATCATTCACATTAATCGATTGAAATAATCGATTTCCTATTTTATTAATACATAAACTTATTTTCAGCCGACTTCCAAAAAGGAGACGGTATTCAATTCAACTGTATGTTTTTTTCTATGTGTGTTACCTCATAACTTTTTACTGGTTGAACCGATTTCGATGATTATTTTTTTGTTTAAAAGCTGGTACTTCTCGCGTGGTTCCATATAAATTTGATTAAGGTCAAACCAAGAGTTTTTGAGTTATTCTTAATAACTTATATTGAAGTCAGCTGTACAAAATTTTTTATTTTAAATTATTAAAATTTCTCGTCTACCAGATTGTGAATTGGGCAAACTTTTTATATTTTGAAATTGTAAAATATAACGTTTTTTTTAAACCATATTTCAATTTATTACAAATTGGGTACAGAAATCTCTGTCTCCTTTATCAGCTTCCGCCACATCAGCTCTTTCATCAAACGCCATATCATCAATAAAAACAATTTTCGGTGAATCTAAGTATCACACTCTTTTACGCAACTTCCCTGATATAACTCGACCTTCAGGCACGCATAAAGTTCCTAATCATAATACCCTCTATTATATGAGGACAACTCCAGGGCCTCCAGTATCTTGTGTAACAAGGCGATTGGGTCCTGACAAATTGAAAATAGCGAAGGTAGAATTTGAAGCTATGCTCAAAAATGGAACAGCAATACTTTCCGAAAGTCCACGGTCATCTCCACTACATCTGGAATCCAATAAAGTTAACGGGTAGAGACCTTGTGGCGATCACCGGCTATTAAACGCAGGTACGATACCCGATAGATATCCTATACGTAATATTCAAGATTTTACGTACAATATATCAGGATGCAAAATATTTTCAACTATTGATTTAGTGAAAGCATATAATCAAATACCGATAAATCCAGAAGATATTTCAAAAATGAGACAAAACGACGCCCTTCGGATTGTATGAGTTCCCGTATATGACGTTTGGCCTTTGGAATGCAAGCCAAACGTTCCAAAGAATTATGTATGAAATGACGAGAGGACTCGATTTTTGCTACTCTTATTTGGATGATTTTTTAATTTTTAAAAAGATGAACAAAGACACCTTAAACATCTCCATCAAGTTTTTACAAAATTGCAAGACTATGGAATGGTAATAAACACGTCCAAATGTGTATTCGGAGCCTCTACTGTAACCTTCTTATTCTACACCGTTTCACCCGAAAGCAAACCCATGACCTCAAATGTACAAGCCATCAAAGATTTTCCAGTGTCAAAAAACATGAAAGAATTGAGAAGATTCCTGGGAATATTAGATTTCTATCTCAGATTTGTCCCAGGAGCAGCGGAAACTCAAGCTCCATTAAATTCACTCCCAACCGGTGCGGTAAAGGGTTCACATCCAGTAAATATTACAGGTGACGCACTAATATCGTTTGAAAAATGCAAAGAGTTATGCAATGCAACCCTTCTTGGCCTCCTTGACTTAAATTCAAAACTGGAAGTAGTGAAAGACGCTCCAAACGCTTACGCTATGTAGCAACTGGTGGAGTTCTGCAGTAATTTAAAGATGGTGAATGGCAGCCTCTGTCGTTCCTTTCTCGTAAATTGTCCTTGATAGAGAAAATATTCACCATACGACCAAGAATTATAAGCGATCTATGAAAATATAATATATTTTCGGCATATGCTCGAGACCAGACATTTACCGATAATAAGCCAATATGCTACGCATTTCATCGTCGAAAAGAAAAATGTTCGCCACGGCAATTTCGCTATTTAGATTACATATCCCAATTTACAACGGACATACACCATATTTCTGGAAAAGGAAATATCGCAGCTGACACTCTTTAATGAATAAAGGAATTATCTAAGCCCGTCAACTTAAGCACACTCGCATAAACGCAGTCAGAAGCTCCTGAGCTAAAAAAAATTAATAAATGGTGAAACATCGCTTCAACTAATTAAGGTTAAATACCTTGTACACTAGAAGAATTCTGCTGCGACAACAAAACGCAAGTAGCACGCCCTTATGTGCCTCAGCAACTTCAACGGCAAATTTATGCAATACTGCATTCACTGAGTCACCCAGGCGCTAATGCCACCGCAAAATTATTAGCACAGCGTTACGTTTGGCCCAGTATGAACAGAGACTGCAGAGTATGGGCTAAAGCATGCCACGCCTGCCAGACCTCAAAAATTACCCGACACGTGTCATCGCCGTTACACACATTCGAATTGCCACGTACCCGGTTCCAATACATTCACATAGACATAATTGGACCTCTTCCACCATCAGATAGTTTTCGGTACTGTCTGACAGCGGCAGATAGATTCACACGGTGGAGGGAAGCAATCCCTTTAATAGACATTACTGCTTAATCCGTTGCAAAGGCCTTGCTACTAGGTTGGATTTCGCGATTTGTATGTCCTGCGGAAATAATAACTGATCGGGGAAGGCTATTTGAATCATCGGTGTTCAAATATCTTTCAGTATCAATAGGTTTCCAACACAAGAAAACAACTGCTTATCACCCTGCATGTCACGGAATGGTAGAAAGAATACACAGGCAGTTATATATAATCGGCCATAACTTGTCACAGTAACCAACACTGGATTGAAAGTTTGCCACTAGTACTATTAGGTATGAAAAGTGCTTTAAAGAAAGATCTACAAGCATCGCCGGCTGACTTAGTTTATGGTGAACCGTTAAGACTACCGGGATTATTCTTCTATCCTTCCTTGACAACAACCACCGATGTGACGGATTTCATTGTGCTAATATGGAAAATATACGTCCATTGTCAGCGTCACGGCACAGTGAATACAAGACCTTTGTTTTCAAAGATTCGCCAATAGCTACGCACGTGTACATGAAAGATGAAACAAAATCGTGAGCATTTCAACCATCTTATACAGGGCCATGCAAAGTCATACAAAGAAATGATAAAGTTTATAAATTTCTAATTAGAGGCAATGAAGTCACAGTTTCCATAAATCGGCTGAAACCAGCCTACACAATCCAGGAAAACACTGAACTCCAAGGTCCTGTCACTATGCAGCCGACTGAAAGTAAAGAACTTATCTTCACGCACAATCCCTAACGGGGTAGCCAGAGAGAACAGATCGCCAAGTGTCACGATCCTTACAAACCTCTTTCGCTTCTTTCAGATTCATTATCTTCTTCATGCATGCACGTCTAGGTACCCTCTTCGAGCAATTTGCTCACATGGTCTTCGAAAGAAAAAAAAAAAGTAAAGAAGACACAAAAATTAAAAAAGACATGTTCGGGACGAAGTGTGAGATAGCCAGATTACTATATATTATGAGACGGTCTCTGGGGGGAGTGATGTGGCGTAGCCACATAATATATATCAAAAATTAAAAATATACTTTAGAACTGTCAACTGTGCATGATAGGGTGATGCAACTTTGTATGAAAGCTGAGAAATCTGCACACAATCATGATTTTATCAATGGTTGTGTTAGGTTTGTAAAAATAATGCGAGAAAAATATCGCTGTTTCTTTCCTTCATGTTGTTTTAGATTGCCATTTTAAAAATTAGATACAAAAATTCATATTATATTGTCTATAAATCGTATATAAATGTTATTCTGTGTTAAACATTTATTTGGTTTGCTTTTTAAAGTATAATTACATACATACGAGTATTCCTCTGAGATTCGCACAATTAATTTACCTATTAATTGATTAAAATTAAATTTTTAAATATTAGCAGACTTCTATCAAAAGAAATATTAAATATTATTTCAATCAGCATTAACGATTGTAGAAAGTTAAGTTTATACGTGGTAGAGCCATGCTGCGGCTATATTAGTAGTATAGTTGTAGCACGAATGGGTCGGCTCGACCGGGGTAGGACCACGCTCTCACAGAATACCAGCGTAAAATAGCAGCTTAATGCTGCTGTGTTTCGTATGGTGAGTGTAGAGAACCGGAGACCCTTTTTACTGGAAAAGAGGCATTCCATCTTAGTCCTCACGGGTGACAACGCATCTACATTTTGATTCGCAAACGAGTATGGATGTAGAGATGTGTATGGGCCGCAGCAACCACTTACAATCAGGTGGACTGTACACTCGTTTGTCACCCTATCCTATAAAAAAATATATTATCAATTTGAATTTTATTTATGAATTTCTTTTGTTCGTTTTTTTTTTATTTTTTTGATATTAGAAACGAAATAAGGAGCAGTAATAAAGTCATGGGTGGAATGAAAATTTTAATAACATCTGTCTTATAACAAAAATATGATTTCTATAGATATAATTTAAACGTTTTGAAAAACAATTTGAACGTTATGTCACACTATAGTTATAATAATACAATTTATTTCTTAAACTAAATATGGTAATTACAGACACATTATTCGCACCGGTAAACTGAAAACATACACTTTTTGTGTCGAACTTGAAGAAGTTTCTAAATTATTAACATTAAAGTAATATTGCCGTACGCTCATTGATTGTGACCAATGACTTTCTAAAAGTGCACTACAGCAGAAATAAATTGCGCACTTACGGTCAAATTCTTCGTAACTTCTGTAGTTGAATGCGAGCTGGCGAGAGCATTAGTTTTTTGCTTTGTAAACCGCGAAGTACACACCACATATTGCAGTAGCTCTTCTCTTTCATTTCACCTTCTTTTATTTCTTTGTTATTTACTTCTAATTGCTTTAAATTGTTTTTATGCAGCAAACATTCGTTATGCTCGTTAATGTTCGAGGCATTATTGGTCACTTGAACGTCGCAAATTTCACACAAATGACGTCATTTAATTGTTTTATCTTTTTATTATTAAAATAAAATATGCCGCGCGGTAAAAACGTCAGCTATTCTTCTGTTTAACATATCTATACTACAGACTCTACCAGTCTTATTCCAAAAAAAGAATTTAGTGCGGGTTGAAACCAGGGCTAAAAGATCCAGGTTTGTTACAGTATTAACATTAATACCAAAATCAAAATGTGTACTACAAAACGAAGACTACCCGAGGACCCATTGGCACCTAAGTTAGTACTAGTTTAAATAATATTCATAGATATAAAAAAAAACGGTACTCTTTTATTTGTACATACAGGCTTCATTCAACGTTCTGTTTCTCTAATTGTTAATGTTATTATATTAAAAAAATATAACAAATATAATAACTTATACTAAAGACGCGCTTTTTATAATCAAGTTGTTTTCAACAGACTTAAAATATATGACTTTTTTCTAGATGAACCGATTCTTTATTTGAAAGCTGGTGCTGTTTTCAAAAAAACTTGTACCTGTAATTTTTTTGTTTAAAAAACCGTCATTAAAATCATGATTTTGCTCTGTAGTGCGCTAAATAACGACTTCATCTTTCTGAAGCCGTGATTTTACTCAAATAATGTGTTGACATCGTTACGATATTGTCCTTGAAAAAATCCTAAAACAAAGTTTTCGACGTGAAACAACTAAGCCCTCTTAATATAGGAAATATTACGTACACGAGTCTACGTACGAAAACGTGAGTAAATATGCAGAAAATAAAAAAGTAAATAATACTTTTTAGGGTTCCGTAGTTACACAACAAGGAACCCGTAGTTTCGCCATGTCCGTCCGTCCGTCCGTCCTTCCGTCCTCGGTTTTGCTCAGAGACCCTAGGTGGTACAAACCAGTAATTCGGCATAGTTATAGATATTAGTTACGCTTAGAAAACTGTGAAATGAAATCTTTAAAAACATTTTTATTTTGGATACTTCCCATACAAATAAATGGAGGATGATTTTTTTTACCCCTTTATTCCATCACGTGCGGTATCGTTGGATAGGTCTTTCAAAAACACTGGGGGGTGGGGAACATCATCTTTTCGATTGAGGGGTTCGTTTGCGAAATATAATATACTGGACAGTAGTAATGAAGTTAAAAGGAAAACTATCACAGCTAAGTAGAATTAGGAAGTTAAAGAATAATTGTCGACCAACTTATTAAATTCACTTGGATCAGTAAAAATTCCATTGCAACTTCATAGAAAATGACCTAAAACTAGCTGCATTAATAACTTTGTAATGTTATTAACTGTTAAAAATAAACATTTTATGAAGAAAACGACTTATATGCATTACTACTATTAGCTTTACTTTGTCATTTGCGGGATAGATAGGGTATTATTATCGGAATCGAAGTTTTATTAATATTATTTTGAATACCACTCCCTATAAAGCTAAAGCTGATTTGAAAATAAGTCCTTCAGTTACGATCTTCCTATTTGAACACATTTTTAGTCGTTATAGCGGTCAAACTGCGAACTCACTGATTATGCTTATTATTAAGGAAGCCCACGTATTGTGACGGGCAACTACGGAAATTGTGCGTGGCCCAACACGCACTTGGCCAGTTTTTTTTGTGTGTGTTTATGTTAATATCCATTTTTAACGATTTCAAAAACACAGAATTAAAATTATTTAAAATTAAACATTTTGTACAGCCGACTACAATATAAGTTATTAAGAATAACTCAAAAACTATTGGTTTGACCTTGATCAAATTCATATGGAACCACACGAGAAGTATCAGCTTTCATATAAAAAAAGAATCATCGAAATCAGTTCACCCAGTAAAAAGTTATGAGTACACATAAAAATAAAAAAAACATACAGTCGAATTGAGTACAGTCTCTTTTTTGGAAGTCGGCAGATAACCATAACCTCAAATTAAGTAAAGACATTGATGTCAGTCTTATAAATAAACTAGTGGGATGCGGGAAGTAAAGACTGTGTAAGAACCTCCGAAGGAGGCGGAGTTATAGCGGAAATAAGAATTTTAAACTTTTTGGATTTTGGCTATTTTGACCCCCTAGGAGAGTAATGAGAACTTTTTTCCCCTATTCAATCATGACCCCCATGACATCCTCAACATGATAGGCTATTCAAACTGACTATGCGTAAAGTTCGAGCCACTCTCCAATTTTTTGGTTTTTGGCTATTTTGACCTCCTAGGAGTGTAATGAGAACTTTTTGCCCGTATTCAACCATGACCCCCATGACATCCTCTACATCATAGGCTATTCAAACTGACTAGATCTAAAGTTCAAGCCACCCCCCAACTCATTTCTAGTCTTTACTACCAATTGTTTCCAAAAACTGGGGGTCTCGGAAGTTTAACTTTAGTACCACAGTTAATACCACATACTTGTGCCAATTGCTGTAGAGACACTATCGGTCCGTGGGGTCCGTATTTCGGAATAAGGCCGTAAAAATGCTATTCGGAACCGTCGTCGCTAGGGCCGTTAAGTGATTCTGGTTGTTTAAGTGATTGAAAAGAGCATCTTTAGTCAGTTCTGTCTGGCACACCGAACAATTGAAGCAGTCGTCTTTTTCTAGTATTTTGTTATTTGATAATATTTTTCGTAGTTTTTTGAAGTGCTTTCGTCCTTCTATATGACTTTTAAATACAGAAACAACGTGAGGTAATTTTAGATTACAGACTTGGCAGTTTACCACACCCAGATTATCGGTAAGTTCAAAATATTTCATTGGTATTTTAAATAAACTGTCTTTGTTTGACTCGGTATCCGTTTGATCTTGGTTTCCTGCTAAAGCATTTAATACATCGTTAGTTAAAGTCCTGACCATATTCACTCCATGGGATCGCTTATTTATATGATCGAATTGGTCTCCTATATTTACAGATTCACAGCAGCCATTACAAAAATACAGATTTCCTGTCAGCTTCAACCGGTTCTGTACCAGTAGTGTTCTAGCACTTTTGTTATGATTGTACCTGTTAAGATGTTCTTGAATATTCTTTGTTTTATTTGGAATTATCACTAAGCATATTCTGCACTTCAACTCGCTCGGATTTAAGGTGATTTCTAAAACATCTTCCACTGTTTCACTAGTAACGGATATCGAATTATTATTTTGCCCACTTGCTGTGTGTGTTATAGAGTCTGAGTTTGTATCTTTCTTGATATCTATTTTTCCGTTTCCCTTAGCAACTGGAACTTTTTTGGCAACACTTCCCGACGGCGTGTCCTTAGAAAACATCTCTACTGGAGGACTACTAGCCTTTTCTTCATCATTTTTAGATACACTTGCCAAATTCTCAAGAGTGCTTTTATCACTCTCATCGCTCTTGTTATTTCCTTGGACAGAAACATCTTTTGCGTCAAAGTAGTTAGCCAAATTATATTTATGTAATTTTCCATTATAATGTGTACTGATGTTATGGGAATTGTTTGGTACATTAACTTGGCAAATAACGCAAAAATGTTGTTTACTATCGTAACCTCTGGCTTCTGTACTAAGCTTTTCTTTTGTGGGTTTGTCAACAATTACACTTTTCAAATCCAAAAGCAACTTCTTATGTTTTGTAGAATCAATATGAACCAGCTCATTTCCTATACACATATAAATAGTGCATGCTTCGCAAAAAACATTTCCTTGCGTCTTAATCATTTTGTTTGCGGCTAATAAAGCGTTGTAACGATCAACATGACTTGTACTCATTAAATGAACGATATGATCAGTATCAACGAAATAATTACAAACCACACATTTTAAATTATCTGCTTCAATAGAATATTCCAACATATAGGTGCGTTCCTCGGCTGCTTTATGCCTATATGTATGTGAACTAATATTTTTTTTGCGAAGTGAAATTTGACAGACACTGCAAAAAAAATTCTTAGCTTTAGATCTGTCAGTTTTACTAGCATCCAATTGTACAACAAACTCATTATTTTCAAGCACCGACGGTGCGTTGTTTATATTATTATAGGTAGTTTTAGCAGCGCAATCTTTTGGTACTTGTTCTTCGTTACTTTCAAGTGGAGTAATAATATTTGCTTTGTTAACATCGCTTCGTGTTTCAATTATTATTTGGCTCTCACCCCCCTGTTCAGATAACAAGATAGCATTTTTCAATAACGCTTCGTGTCTTTTGTTGCAAAGTGCGTGGAAGTCGGCACTTTCGACTAACTCATTGCATAGAATGCAATGGCTTTTAGTATTATCCAACTGTAACAAGGAAAGCTTTTATGTAGTTATATCGTCTTACGTTATTGAATATCGCGTAGTGGCGTTGTCAGCATTATGCCATACGCGAGTGTCGTAAGAGGCAACAGAGGGAAACAAACCAGGAGATGGGCAGCAGCATCTTCTTAATAACAAGCCTGTAACTCTTGCTGCTACCTGCGTGAATAAAATATCTGCAACCGCGCGCAACCTGTGGTTACGTACGCAGTCAGTGCTAGCACGTTTTATGCGAGGGACGTATTATTGAATTTCAAAACTTTTTAACACTGCTTACGTAAATAGATTTTTTGTAAATACTTATATAAATATTTTTGTTTATTGTTTACTATATTTAGTTATAGGATAAAATAGTCGTATAAGTTTAAGTTTAATTTATATGTATACTATAGAAAACCATATTCACTAACAATTATGAAAAAATAATAATAAAAAATATTAATAAATTTACTAAAATGATAAACTAATATTAATTTTATCACTTATTGTCCATGTTTCCGTTCCAATATTTACTTAAATTATACGTCACATTTAGCGTTTTAAATTTAATAACCGTTATTTTAATGACGGTAAAAAATATAAGAGACTATCTTAAAGTAAAACAGTTTAAATTAATTAAATAATTAAAGGTACGATATAAAAAAAAAAGAACTGAACGAATTTAAATGACAGTGGTATTATTTTAAAGCCTAAAGATATAATAATATACATTTTATATACATTACTCAAGCGATTTTTGAAAAAAAAAATACAATTTAAGATTTTAAAGGGGTGAGTCGTTTCAGTTGATCACGTGTATACCGTCACCTGTCACATAAGTTATCACGGAAAATCGGCCGTGGTGTGTAAGGGGAAAAGATGCAAAGCCATACGGACACTCGCACGCAGCGATTAAGTTTAATTTAGCTTGCGTACGTGATTTATCTGATTAATAATAATTATGTAGGTCATGTTTATGTGGGACTCACAACAAAAAATAATGCACCAACTATGTAACTTGCTTAGCATGTCGTGAAAGGTGACTACTGGGACGTTGAGTTTGAGTAAGCGATGTGCTAGCCACCTGTTCTTTTTTCACAATTTTCCATCTATACCTATATTTTTTGGCTATGTGAGGTTTGTTTTTATAGGATAGGGTAACAAATGAGCACACAGTCCACCTGATGGTAAGTGGTTGCTGCAGCTCATAGACATCTACATTTATCCTCAATAAAGAATCAAAATGCAGATGCGTCGTCACCCGTGAGGACTAAAATGGTATGCCTCTTTTCCAGTAAAATGGGTCTCCGGTTCTCTACACTCACCATACGAAACACAGCAGTGTCAAACTGCAATTTTACGCTGGTATTCTGTGAGAGCGTGGTCCTTCCCCGGTCGAGCCGACCCATTCGTGCTACAACTATACTACTAAAATAGCTGCAGCATGGCTCTACCACGTATAATACTACTAACATAGCTGCAACATGGCTCTACCACGTAAATATGGTCCGAGTAGTTTTTTTACTTTTTGGCCTCGCCCTACCCCCTCAAGACTACAGGAATGTTTTAAATTATGTATGTGTATGTACCACTATAGAATCTGCGCAGAAGATAGTTGCCGACAACATTTCAAAGTTATTGCTGTGGTCAAAATTGTCTAGGAGTACATCATTGTACGAGACAATAACGCTATTTACCAAAGGCAAACAGATCTTCAGATCTTTCTAGTAATTTCAGGAATAACAATTACAAGTGCAACGAGAAGAGATGGGCAATGCGGGCTTCTAACGACTTTTTCCGCCACCAGGGCGGCCCCTCTTTGGAAGGAGGTTAAACTTTAAACAGATTTAGTAGTAGTAGTAGTAGTAGTAGTAGTAGATTTAGTAGCGGAGTAGATAAAATTATCTACGTAAAATTTTCCTAACAAATGTTAGAAAAATTTTACGTTTACCTTACCCCCACACTAGAAGTTTCTCCTGTATCGTGGAGACAGTTTACAAATATAAATTGCACAAGGACAATCTTCCAGACCCGGAACAATTATTTTCAGGCCATGCAAATACTTGTTCCGTACGAGATTCGAACCCACAGCCCCCAGCGCAGCAACTCATTGCTAAGCCACGGAGCCGTCATATTAATTAAACAGTCGACTCTCGATAATTTGATTCAAGGGACCAAAAAAATTTCAAATTACCATCATTTCAGATTACTTAAAGTGAACAAGAGTTTGTTCAAAATTCATGATTTATTATTTAAAACAACAATTGTACAATTATTAACAAATGTTCATTTTGGAAAGAAGTCCGCAATTTTCTGTTAAGTGAGCGACTTCAGTCTATCACTGTCCACTGCTGAGAAATCGTCACTTGTGTCGGTTCTGAAGGCAGTAATATATCCCCTTGGCTCGGTCAATGTGACTGGAATTGGCGGTTGTTCTTCCTCGTTTTTTTCCTCGTCCTCATCCAGAGGGGCCAAATTCAACAATTCGGCATCGGTTAGGGCACCAGGGACACTGATACCATCATGAACCTTAGCATAACCCTCAAATGTTAATTCTCCATAGTTAGGTATAGTATGTTCTAGGGCAGACGGAAAAACGTACATTGACCTAAAGTATTATGTTAGCACCGAAACAAAACAACAGGTATTGCTTCCATACATTTCATTATCGATTACGTATCGTTATGCGCTAAGCGTGTTTCATGGTACGGGGTGGGGTGAAGGAAGCGGTCATTCAGAGATAACAAACCTAAACCGAAACAATACCACTTTTAAAATGGCAGACGTCAAAACACTATATATGAAGAAGGGCTATACAATATTGACCATATAAAGTGGAAAAACTGTATTAACTACGTCATAAAAGAAGAAAAATTAAATTAATTGGATAATGCCATTGATAAACCTGTAGATATTTTATAATCAATGTGGCAAAATTTTCCACGTCTTTATCATCAGAAAATGATTCTGAAATAGTTACAAAAGCATAGTCTGTCTAGTATCTCTGACAATCTTTTATGAGAAGTTTTATGCATGCTTCCAGGTTGGCTGCTAAAGAATGCATTAAAAGTTCACCATTTTACCCAACTGCCAAGAAGTGGTTATGTTTTGTACAACTACCTACCTACTTATTACACTACTATCTTTCACTCTGATGATGTATGTAATGATGCAAGGATAAAAAGATAAAACCTAAGAAAAAGGTTGGCTACCCCGTTTACATCGTCAAAGGTCAATGTACGTTTTTCCGCCTACTCTAGAAACACTATAGAAGTCTCCACACTGAGTCAGAATATGTAATTTTTCGCAGCTCAGATGACTGTTCTACGTTTTCGGTTTGCTTAAACCCGCACTTTCTGAAGCAGTTATAAATATAGTTAGGGTTGACATTTTTCCAGGCCTTATCCGGCTGATCCCTAGACTAGAATGCGAACTGCATACTCATCAATACTCATTTATGTACACAATCCACAGGTCTGCAATTTTATATAAACGAACGACAGGTCTGTGCATGATAAACGATTCAAATTATAGAGGGTAGAAAACCCGGACTTCAAATTGTTGTAATGGCGGGCAAGATACTATTCCTTCAACTTGAAATTACCGAGGGGACCAATTAATATTAATTTTATTAAATTAACAAGTATTTTTCAAGGGACCGGGAGAGTTTTCAAGTTATTGAGAGATTTAAATTAACGAGTATCAAATTATCGAAAGTCTACTGTATTTTATATTAATGAGATGTGGAATGAATAATATAACAATCCACGTATATAGCCAGAAGTGGGACTTATATAGCCTGTTATTTTACTTTTGTATCGTATACATATGCAATATTCATACTCATTTCAGATACAGAAGGGTACCTAATACTGAGAAAAATATCATGGTGAAGCCACGAAAATATTAAACATCTTTCTATGTAGATAAAATATTCTAGTGATTGTCAGTCATTCCATACGCCACATTTTCTATAGAGTTTAGAAAGTTTCAGATAGGGCAAAATAAAAAATAATACAAAATATTATGGGAATATTTTATTAATAATATATACATTTATAGGTATTTATAATAAAAATAATGAACAAGCTGCAAGGTTCAACTGATAGTTTCTTGTAAACACAATTGCAAAATTGCTGTTCTCATTTTTGTCAATGGTGAATTGATGAAACGTAATCAAGATCACAAGATCAAGTTACGGGAGAGAATACAAAAATGGAGTGGAGAGTGGTTCCATAGAAGCGATAGAATGTATTGCTTGGGATTTAATAAAAGGATCAACAGGGACAATGCAAGACAAATGACGATTAACGTCATCTAAATTTAGTGAAGCACCTAGGTCTATTAAAGAAGGCTTATAATATCTAGAGATCCAAGGAATTTCCACATACCTGCGGTCGAAGTATTAAGAATATTACGAGTATCATCAATCTAGTGGCGTTTAGCGTTTCGCACCATCTGATTACATCTGTTTCTTAAAGCCTTAAAACCAGTCCAGTTTGCCATTGTGCGATGTTTCTCTAACTTTTTAAAAGCTCGGTCCCGTCTCCCTATTGCCACCTCTACGTCCCTGTTCATCCAAGGCACAGGAGGACGCTTTACCCTTATTTGATAAAAAGCAGCATGAACATAATAGAAATTGAGAACAATTCTATTAAGGACTAAGATTTTGTCATCTAGTGTACATGCTAAACCAAGAGGTTCTAAATCAATACGGGCAGCGTCATCCTTAAGTTGGTCAATGCTTAATTTGCGTAAATGCAAAATAGAGGGTTTGCGTTTTGGAGGTTTTAATCTCTAAGAAAAGTAAAATAATTCATGATGTGAGAATCACGGCGCAAAAGGATGTCCATGCTGAACCAAGCGATTTGGAGAAGAAAGTTAAGGTCAATCCATGAATCATCACTGGTCTGGTCTGATAGGTCTCCTTTAAGGGAAGAATGCAGAGATTGACTGATTCCAATTTTGACCGAAGTTTATGGACGCGAGAGTTATTAGTGTTGAAA